GAGTTGCTTTCCAATTCTGTAACGAAATTCCAAAAGATGAACTAGACAACGATGGGAATAATGTGGATCAACTAAAGCGTTCAGTGTTTTTTAATCATAATTAAAGCCTAAAAGAATTATAGGATAGGATAATCAACCAAAAAAGACACATCAGACAGAGGTTATAAAAAAAATCAAATGGTTTGTAATCAAATGTAGAAAGCTGTCACGAACTCCCATAATGCACTGTGCACACGCTCTCCTCCACTCCACTAAGACACACATTAATTAGTGTCAGGACCATAACCTTGTCTTCTCTTTCTTCACTTTTCTCCTTCTCTCTCCCTGTCGTCACTTTCTAGGTTCCTGTGCCTCCAGAACTACAGGAGGTTGGGAGAGGGGTGTCCACTGGCAATTAACCATTCACATTCAGATTCACACCGACGGCCAATGTAGAATGAAAATGAGTGAAAAATGAACCCAATCCTTATTGTTATAACGTCTATGAGTGTAGATAAAAAAGAAGGCCTAAGGCTGAGCAGTATCTGAGAATAAAGTTACATATGGATTCAAGTAGCTTTGTTCAAAAGGAAAACTTAATAGTGAATTAAAACCAGACTGTGTAAACACTAAAGACTGTAGACACACACACAGTGGTGTCAGGTTTCAGCTCCTTTGTCTGATTTGGGGTAAAACATCCAAGAGAAGTAAAAACGTATTGACTTTAATATTAATGAACTGATTAAGTTAACAGTTTGTTAAGGTTAAAATTAACTGAACTGAACTGTGTTGCATTTTGTCATTTGCAAGAGCAGCGTGTGGGTGGAAGCTTTCAACAGCAAAACCATTGATATGGAAATATCTGTCTCTCACTCACTCACTCACACACACACACTGCCTTGTGTGCATAAGTAAACAGACAATGGCCCTATAAATATAAATTGCAGTCAATAGTGCTTGAATTCCTTTGCACTCGCCCAGCCGCTCACTTTCTCTGGCTCCCTCTCCCTCACCCTCTCCCTCTCCCTCTGTCGGTACACACCCCCAGCAGGTGCTTCCACTGGAGGTTGAGTTTGCAGTTGTGCTTTAGGCTGTGACTTTCAGGTTATCTGTGATTCCACAAAAAAAAAAAAAAAAAAGAAAGAAGAAAGCCTGGGAGGGTCTGAGGCCTCAGAGCTGGGGGCTCTGTGACATCATCAGGGGTGATTCCACACTCACCCATCTCTTGCTCAAGAATTGATCAGAACCGGAAAAAGAAACGAACCAGAGCTGCACCGCATCCACAGTCAGAGCATCCTTGTCACGGTAAGAAAGACGTAGACTTAGCCTCACATCGTGTCAGAACATTTTACTGTTTTTTTTTGTTTGTTTGTTTGTTTAACATTTTATTTAACTGGTTTGAAAAAAAATATTGATAACAACAGGTGACAGATTTATCTTACCATTCCTTTAAGATACCATCTTCAGGTCCAATCTCAGTGGTTGGATATTTATCCACGGCGTAATTCACTGTACACACAGTCGACGGTTTAAATTACACTAGAACCAATAGCCAGTGTGTTTTGGCAACCAGTTTTAATGAGGCTTTTTAAATGTTCTTTTATTATATTATTAATAAAAAAACTCAACAACAAAAAAAGTTTCCTGGTAAAAGGGAATGTATTGGAATTCTGTTTCAGATGACTGTGAATTCTAATATGACTGTGTTAATTGAATTGAATTGAATTGAATTGAATTGAATTGAATTGAATTGAATTGAATTGAATTTACCTGTGTTAAGTTTAGTTAAGGCATTGATCCTAAATACCACCAGGGGTTTGTGTACCATAGTTTAAGAACCACTGATGCAATAAATCAATAAAAAACACATATACATATACGTATTTCAATATGACAATCAATAACTAAAACTTGGTATATATACATATATATATATATATACAAAAGAACACATCATAGATCATAGTAATAGAAATAAAAATGAGTAATACGTAAAAACTGCTTCAGTTACTACCAACACCAAACTGCTTCTGTTTTCTAAAGTGGAAATAATGATGACTCAGTAAAATGAAATTGAAAAGGAAATAAAAGACTGGTGGATTATAGTTTGAGATCATCCTATCTGATCAGGACGACAACGTTACTTTTTTCACATGGAACATCTGAATGTTTTTTTTTATTTTATTTTTAAGTTCAGTAATTTTCCACACTGTCAACAAACCCCACCCACAATTAAAACACAGAGAATACAAAGAGCCAGTCAGAGTGCCTCGTCATCAGCGGCTCCACTGTGTAGCTGTCCAGTTAAAGTCAGACATAAATGGCAATACATTGGTGCAATAATTATAAATTAGTTATTCTATATTGTTCCTTCACATTAAAGCAAAAAGAGAAAATCAACCCTTTTTATATGACATTTGTACTAATTAGTACTACAGTATCAAGACAGTCTGGAGGGATATTCACATAGTACTGTCACCTGTACACAAGACACAGTTGCACATAATTATTGCAGCATAAGCTTTTAATTTGCAATTTGGAACCAGTGACTGAAACAATCGAATCCCCAGGAAAATGTTGGAACATATTTAATATCATCTCGGACCTGAGACGAATTGAATTGTTTATAATAAAAATAATATAATAAAAATAAAAACAAAAGAAGATGAAACAGTTTACCATGACATTATTATTAACCTTAACCTGTTTTTTCCCCTATTTGCTCACAATGCTCTTGAAAAATCCAGTTAAAATGAAAAGTCACACCGTCAACCTGGCCAGTTTTTATCAGCAGCTGAGATCATGCTGCAGCAGTACATGCCTCAGGCTCCTCAGTCACAGCCTCCATATCTTCACCATCATCACTGTCTTACGTTGATAACAACAGGTGACAGATTTATCTTACCATTCCTTTAAGATACCATCTTCAGGTCCAATCTCAGTGGTTGGATATTTATCCACGGCGTAATTCACTGTACACACAGTCAACGGTTTAAATTACACTAGAACCAATAGCCAGTGTGTTTTGGCAACCAGTTTTAATGAGGCTTTTTAAATGTTCTTGCAAAATGCCCATTGGCACTTTTTTCCCCCTTCATACTCTGTACATCAGTGGAGAAAACTAAATAACACTGACAAAATGATTTTCTTAGAGTGTAAAAACAGATTTTTAAAGCAAGCAAAAAGTCTTTGAACATAAAAAAATGATCTAAAACCAGTGGTCTAAAAACACAGCACATTAGATGTTTGTGATGATTTATTGTTTATAAGTGTATAACACAAACCACAAGGCGGCGCTACAAAGACTTACAAAAGTAAAGTTTTAAGTAATTTTATACTTTTAGCTATACTTTCTTGCTTGCTAACAGCAAAATGGTAATTTTATACTTTTAGCTATACTTTCATCTTGCTTGCTAACAGCAAAATAACATACATGATAGAATTGATCAGAATTTTATTTCAAGGCAATATGATCTATATATATATATATATAATATATAAAGGTTAGGATTGTGTTAAAGGAACATCTTTTTTTGTTTTGTTTTGAACAGTGTCTCCTCTTATCACAAGTGGGTCTGTTGAAATAATAATGAAAATCCTCCTTGTTTGCTCCGTGGAACAACGACTTCCTTGGAAGTTTTTAAGGTACCCAGAAGAGGCGATAACAAAAGACAACAAAACCTTTATGCCTTTCGCTCGCACAGCAAACAGTCGCGCATGGCTGAACGCGCTCTCACAGATTCAGACTCAACCAACAGATGAGCAGAGCATTCACGAGAGTTTGACATCAGACAGATGCTTGTTAAATTTCATCCACACAAAAAAGCAAAAAAAAAAAAATTTACTTAATCTCTAACAGTTGACCAGTTTAAAAAAAAGACAGAGGGACACTACAGAAGGGGTCATTGGTTCTGGTAGTTGTATAAAATAGTCATCAAAAACTAAAACGTGAGATAAAAAGCTTCAGGGATATCTTCAAAAAGTATGTGTTTGCATTTAGAAAAATCCAAAATATACTGTAAGAAAGGGGACGAAACATGGACTGAATGATAATCAATATAAAAGTTCACACCAGGAACTTCACACCCAGTCCTGACCATCCTCATAAAGAACACTGAAGAGTCGGTTCCCAGCGTGGACGCCTGGAGTCCTGGCTCCTTTCCTTTTCGGTGCCGCAGGCTGACTTTGCTGAGTAAATGGAGCAGAGTCTAATTCTCCTAAAATGAATATCAGCGTCTTGACCGTTCTCATTTAGAGATCAGTCAGAGTCTTAATCCTTCTCCCCGGGGGGCTGTGTTTGTGTCCTTTTTTCCTGTGCCCCCTCTTCCTTTGGGAAGAAGGTAATATGGCTAAATTTGCTTTGCTAATGGGCTTAGCGCAAGCTGTTGCAGAGTGGAGTGAACACACACACACTGCAGCCCAGGCCGACATACCAGGAAGCTTTAATCTGACTCCTGATGGAGTGAAGGGGAGAGTGGGTTATAGTCTAACACCAGATAAAAGAGAAACGGGGAAGTGGAGTTTTACAGTGGGGGAAGTCAGAGGAAGGGAAGGGGATGGTAGGAGGGACTTCATGTGCAAGGCTGAAGAAGATAACTTGATCTTTGGGTAGAATGATTATATATATTTAGACCATATTTGAAGCATTTGAATAGAATTAGTCTCGATCACACCGAGTCAAAGATCTGTTTAGAGACACGTCATCAAATTTAGACAATAACCAACAAGTGGTTAGAGCGCCTGCTGGTGGTCATATTTTTTCCTCTCTCTTCTTATTCTTCTGCTGCTTCACCTTCTTCTTTATCACCACCTCCATATCCATGTCCTCCTTCATCACCTCCATACCTCTTCCTCTTCACCTTCACTTCCCATCTATCTTGGTCTTGTGCCTTTTATATTAAAATCAGAGATCGTGATCATCATGGAAACCTATATTCTGTTTTCAATACAAACGCCATCAAGTGAACAGAAGTTAAAACCAAGAGGACCCAAGTGAACAGAAGTTAAAACCAAGAGGTGGGATTAAAATAATCCCATTGTTTCCTGTTTTACAGTCAATCAACACACTTGTGTGATAACAACAACACAGACAGCGGGTCTTGTCCATTATCACCAGCTTTTATGACACTAACTTCTTTAGTGTCTCTGGGAACATGTGCACAGTGGGAGCACACTTGGCCAGTGGCATCAGGCACCGATAAACCCCAGTGTGTGTGTGTGTGTGTGTGTGTGTGTGTGTGTGTGTGTATAGGTGTGTGACAGCAGCGTGCCTTCCTCCCATATGCCAGCTGTGGCAGCTGCACATCATGTGTTTATGTGTGACTTCACCCTGAGATTACAGCACTGGTGTTCCAGCTGATGTCCATAAACGCAGACGTACAGTGGGCAGTTTCCTAAGAACACAAACTTATCGACTAGTCCTTCAGGAGAACAACGGAACTACAAACTGCCTACATAAATCTTGTAAAGGGAAAAAAAAACATTATGCTGATTGGAAAAAATAAAAAATGAATAACAAGTGACTTTAAGGGCAACAGTTAATTATCGCTGACATGCATGGGTCAGAGGTGGAGGGTCATGGACCAGAAATGGCCCTCTGAATATGAGTTTGAGAGCATTCACTTCAGGCTTGCAAGAAGCTAGAGCCACGGAGTAAAGAAATGGTTAGACGATGAAGAGTTCACCTGTACACCACAGGGTCAGACTGTCAGGGAGGCCAATGGCATGGCAGGAAGCAGGCAGGAAAATCATAAAAAAAAATCATTAAAAAAAAAAACTCACTGGGTCACAGGAAGACAATGCATGGACATCACAGGGCATGAACACAGAGCATAAACTGACTCGACTCGACCAGAACAGCACAGAGTGAGGGAGAGAGGTATATATACCCAGGGCACCAGGTGACAGGAGTGAGACTAATGACAGAGACACAGGTGTGTGTGATGACACTGATTACCCCACACAGCAGGACCAGAGAACAGACAGATCTGACACATACTGTTCATGTTCCCATTCACACCACAGGTCAAGTCAGCGTGAACAGTGAACCAAGTCCTGCTTGTTTTTAGACTGTAAAGTGCATACATTTAAATAGAAGGTTTTCTTGTTGTCTTTCACAGGGAATACAGAGACACTTGATTTATGAAACCTAAGGTTAGGGCCTATTTCATGAAGCCAAAAATGACTGAAATATTGATGCAACGTAATTATCGTATTCCAAGGGAAGAAAATGTCAGCTTTTGTTCCAATTTTACAAACCATGAATTATGCATTTGAAAAATTGTCAAAAGAAAAGTCCACTTATATATCCTAATAAAGAAGCACTCACTTTTTGACACTAAGTAAAAAGCAGCCATTGCTGCTTCCAAGGCCAATTATCCTCACCCTCACCTACTCAGTATGCCACAGAGTGGTGCAACAGGTGGTAAAATGTGTCTGCATAGAAACATCTGTGTTTGGTTCAGAAATTAAAACCCTGGTTTCCTAGTTGACCAACGTCCATTTGATTAAAATCTCCAGCTGACAGTGGAGACAGAGAGCTGCGGAGACGGCACCTTAAAAGCCACGGCCGGCCGCGGAGCTGCTTCTGTTCTCAACATGAGGCCCCAACCTCCCAAGAAATCAGCCATTCTTAGCCACTGACCCACAAATAACAGACTCAGTCACATCCAGCTGACCCCACGGCTGTCAGTGCTTCTAGTCTTCTGAGAGTCATTTTCTCGGTGTCTCCATTAGACGCTGAGATATTGTGGAGGTTTGAGGAGCCCCTCAGTTTGACTGAGGACTCTGGAGGATGACAGGATTTCACCTTGGGCTCTGACAGCTTTTCTTCACACAGCTGCAGTTGCAGGTTTAAAAGCTGAAAACATGTTTTTTTGGGAAGAATATATTTAGTCTTGGTATTAAATCGATAGATTGTTTTTTTAATAATATATATGTAAATATTTATCCTGTGACATGAAATTTGAGCAACCGGTTGCTTGTTGTTCTTTTTTTTAGTGATGTCCAACTCAGAAGACACAGCCTATGGGCCGAGGATGGGTATGACAGGCGAGTCCCTCACAGCTTTGGACCGAAGTAGAGGCTCTGCAGAAACCTGGGACATGGAGACCAAACCAAATGTGGAAACTCTGGAGCGAGGCATGTCGGGTGTCTATCTTTCCTGTTTCGACATGCTTCTCACAGAAGATGCGGCCTGGCTGGTGAAGGTCTCCGAGGCCTCCTCGGTGGCCACTGTGCCCATGATCCACATGGAACCACGAGAAGAGCCGGAACAGTGTCCCGTCATCGACAGCCAGGAGCAGGGACTGTCCCCCGGGCTGGAGGGTCAGGAGGAGGAGCGCTCCCTGGAGCAGGTGCAGAGCATGGTGGTGGGAGAGGTGCTGAAGGACATTGAAACAGCCTGCAAACTGCTCAACATCACTCCAGGTAGGCTCCGTCACACCTGCTGCCCTTTCTCAACGTTCATCTGGGCGTTAACAGTTTTACCGACTTACGTACAAAGAAACATTTGTCAGTTATATCTGTTAAAAAAAAAAAAAAACAATCTTTAAAGTAAACAACATGTCTTCCATCCCAAAATGCAACCTTTTGTGGGGTATTGATTTAGAGAAGCCAAAGCCAGCAGATCTCACTCCCAGAATCAACAGTGAGTCGTGTGGGCAGCCCAGCCCGGACAGGTCTGCTCCATCATATTCCCACTGACTCAAAGCTGTGTTTGCCTGCTCCAGGATCTGTTTAATCCTGACCTTTGCATGAGGTTTCTTGGCTTGTGACAGTGAAGCACACAGTATTAAGGGCGAGGTCTAGTCGTGCTCACAAAGCAAACACACGGAGCATAATTTATGGTCAGGCTTTTTTTTTTTCACGCTATCCGTCATAAACTCTCCAGTCATTGCTTCTATTGATTAGATCTGTGGGGCAATTAAACTGCTGCTGCCCTGTGTTTATTCAAGGAATATATAACATGTGACAGCAGATAAACAGACTGTTTTCCTGATTAACTTCATAGAATTCATTGGACCAGCGACACCAGACCAGGTGGATTTTACTGTCGTGGCAGCAGGCGTTCTTCTCACCGTATTCTCCATATCTCAGTTTTTTCTCTCTCCCTTTTCTTATTGAAGACCCCATAGAGTGGAACAGTGGAAATGTGCAGAAGTGGCTGCTGTGGACCGAACACCTGTACAGGTTGCCCCATGCAGGAAAGTCCTTCCAGGAGCTGACGGGAAAAGACCTGTGTGCCATGAACGAGGAAGAGTTTCGTCATCGCTCGCCACAGTGTGGCGACACGTTGCACGCTCACCTGGACATATGGAAGTCAGGTATGGGTGTGGTATTTATTCAGGAAATTAATCACTTCATTCTGCACTTGCCTCAGTGACTCAGTGACATGTTCTTGTCAGCGTGTTTGTGTACATGTGGCCGGAGGTGGAAGAGTTCACTCAGAGTAAATAATCATCTCTGTTGTTTTTGAAGCTGCCTGGATGAAAGAGAGGTGTTCAGCTGGAGACAGCAGGAGCACAGGTATGGTTATCAAAAATGAACGACACACAAACAGCAAAGACAACATCCTGTTGATGTCTGGTTGTTTCGCTGCACTCAGGCAACGAGAACCTCTGGTCTGAGGCCGACTCTTCCTGCTCAGGTCAACCTATCCATCTGTGGCAGTTTCTCCGAGAGCTGCTGCTCAAACCACACAGCTACGGGCGCTGCATCCGGTGGCTCAACAAAGAAAAAGGTTCAAACACCATTAACCATTATTATACAATAAAGGTCAAGGGAATAGGAAGTGAGCCACAATGTTTGAGGATGAATATTTACTCAGATGTTTTTTTACCTCACTGCTGCTAAAGATCATGTGACCTGTCTTTCAACATTTGGAAATTCCCAGACAACTAAAAACATGGATATAATAAATATTTTTAGTCAAAACCATTAGACTATAAAACAACAACATAGAAATATTGAGACGAATTAGAAAAACAAATGAGTGAATAGAATTACTGGCAGACTGATGAATATATGTGCAAACATAAAAATGAACTGTTGTTAAAATGTTGATTTCTCCCCGTCAGGTATCTTTAAAATTGAAGACTCGGCCCATGTGGCCAGACTGTGGGGTCTGAGAAAGAACAGACCGGCTATGAACTATGACAAACTGAGCCGCTCCATACGTCAGTACTACAAGAAGGGCATCATCCGTAAACCTGACGTGTCTCAGAGACTGGTTTACCAGTTTGTTCACCCGGTATGAAGAGGAGGAGGAGGAGAAGGAGGAAGGAAGACAAGAACATATGCACTGACCAACCCCAATGACACACACTTGGACTGTCAACGCTGAAGACAGCAGACAGCTGCTGTATGTATGGAGACGTATCTGTGCCTGTGATGAGAGGAGTGTGGATGCTGAGGCTTTTTTTCTGCTGCAGAATGAAACCAATGATTAAAAATCAACAAATAACAATAGTAATAATAATCCACAGTGCCTTTTATTTGCATATTCTGCCTCTTTGCCTCTCTGCCCCCCCCCCTCCCCCCCCACTCCACAGTTTAACTTCTTATTTACAAGCACCAGGAAGAAAACAGTCCATTGTTCCTCTCATTATTTTAATTGCACTCCTGTGTTGCTGGTCTCTGTTTGAGTTGGAGCCAGTTTTTCTGCCTCAGATGAACATGTGGTTAAGAATCATCAGCTCTTCTTCTTTGGGTTTGGTCCCGGTTGTTGTCCTTTTTAACGTGGGCCAAATCTGTGGATCCTTCGATTATGGACTGGGTCTACAGTACTGTTTGATTGTGAGGAAGGATTCATTGTTTCTGTTTCCCCTGTCTCTGTACCTGTGACTGTCCCTCAGCGTCCACCACGCGCTCCTGTTGTTTACTGTAATTATCACATGCTAAGCATTTCAACAACTCCTGTTTGTTTCAAATAAAGAGATTGGACGATACAGTCAAATAATGAAATGCTTGAACACAGATAACACAGAGATGATATGCAAACATTTTTTTCCAGTGTTTGTGTCTGACTGATACCCATCACATCTGCTGTCTGTACCTGCAGATCAAGTTCTGTGTCCTCTGCACACTCTCTATGAAATATAAACGCTCTGGTGACTGTATGTTTGGTGACACTCTAAACATGTAAAAGCCACGCAAAAATGCTAAAATGCTTTTATCATTTTCTACGCCATTGGGGAAACGTGGGTATTGCAGGGAAAGGCAGGAGTATAATGATAATAATGATAATAAATCAATTATATAATTTGGAAAAGTTAAAAAAGCTAAATGGGCCACATTCGGCCCCCGGGCCTTAGTTTGCCCATGTCTGCTCTAGACAAAAGTCCAGCTGACTATGGCTTGTTCAGGTCTGTTTTAAATATCCCAAGCTTTACCATGAGTGCAAACAGCAAGACATATTATTTTACAAGATTTGGGATAATAGATTAAATCCATGTTGGTGCACAAACAGTAATTTATTCATTTTTTTATATTTATCTTGTATTGATTCATTCTCTTCACGGTTGGGCAGGCAGGTAATCAACCGCTCACAGTTTCTGTTCCAAACAATATGTAATCAACCGCTCACAGTTTCTGTTCCATTTCATTTTAGAGTGATCACTTAACCTATTCCAACCTGGCAAAAACCTCAACACAAGGCAGAACATGCCATACAGAACAACTGAACTAGCCGTAAGGCAACAGCGTGAACCTCTGTTCCACCGCATATTGAACCTTGTTTCACAATGACTCTTCTTTGACCAAACTAAACACCATCCAGTCACAGCTGAATAGAAAAAAATAGATTTCCAAGACATCTATTATGACATGTCATGTTATTTTATTTATTTTGGAGGGAGTATCATGTGGACACTTAAATCAAAAGGACGTCTCTTAAACTTTGTCATTCCATTTAAATAACTGGGTTTTGTTTTCTACCCACGTGCATCCTCACTAATTTACTGGCAGGTCTTTAAAACGTCCTCTTTCCTCCATGTTCACACCCTTCAACTTTCTCTTTCTTTACTCCTACTGCTTTCATTTAACGGTTTGGTGGATTAACAACTCCCCTGTTAATCCAAAGACATAGAAGAGAGTTTTGCCTTAAAAGCAAACAACACCTGAACTTTCAAAAGAATCAACTTTACCTTAATAATTAAGTTAAGTATAAACACACACCTGTTTGGTGTCCTTCATAAAGGTAAGGAGCCAATCCAAACCCAGCTTCACACACACAACTGAACACTTCAAATGGATCTGGATAAAGTTACTCATGCTACATGTGAATTGACACTTGATCTCTTGTTTCTCCTCCCTGCTAACTGTTCAAACTTCTGACATGTTTAAGGATTTGGCGTGACTGCTCTGTGACTGAGGTAAGCCACAGGGTGAAATGTCTGCCAAGAGAACACAGCCTGGAGCTGCATCCAGCTGTTCAATCACACAGATATTAAAAAAGCCTTTGTTTTTACTGCACTGACAGGTGAGGTGAAATCATCCCGGCACAGGAGGAATAAGGTCCACAGGCTGGGGTCAAAATGAAAAAGAAATAATTCCTTTTTGTAACAAAAAGGCCTAGAAGTGCAAAACGAAGAATGATTTTAATAATAATAATAACAATAGTACTTGACAATCAAGTTGTACCATAATGAATGGAATCTTATTGCCAAGCAGTCATTTCCAACTGGCGGCCCGCGGGCTGAATCTGATCTGATAAACTCTCTGATGCGGCCCATGGCTGGATACCAAAATTGTGAAGATCAAAGAGGAAACATTGTGTGCTCTATATAGTTGGTGACCCCTGGTTTGAGGCATATACAATTGTTATCACATACCTTGCAATAGTAATATATAATAATATATAATAATACATTATTAGCTGCTTTACCTTAGCCTTAGCTATCGAGAATATTTGCTTAATTATAATCCCTAACCTAACTCTGACGCAAACCAAATAAAACTCAAAGTAACTCTGCAGTGTACTCTTCTTTGAAGTCGAGTATACTTTAACCAAACAAACAAACACATTTGCTTGCATTTGAGACAACATGTACTTATGTTGTGGTAGCTGTGTATCATCAGGCTGAACCTGTTGTTGAGAGCAAGTTTGTTCTGGTGTTTAAATATCAGCAAAAACTCACAGATACAGACTCACATGAGTGAGTGTTGTCATTATGCGGTACACTTTACAGGTGAAATATTGAATCCACTTGAAAGTGAAATTGTGCAAACAAATCTTCAATAAACAAACTGCAGAATTTAAAATTAAAATGTGTTAATCCCAGTTATATTTAAATAGCAAGTTTTGAATGTTGCACTTGTTCATCTTTGACCTCTTTGACCCTGAATAGTTTTCAACTCCATCACAGGGCCACGTATAGAGACAATCAAATTTTCACACTCAAATTCACACCTCTTGTCAATTTAGAGTGAATTGACCTAATTCTTATATTTGGACTTTTGGAGGAAACTAGAGAGGCTGGAGAAAACACATCATTATACCCAGGAATCAAACCAGTGACCTCCTCACTGTAAGGCAAGATTACTAACCCATGGAATGATGATATTGATATTTAAAGTAAAGCTAATTTCAAGTATAAGGCTTACATTTGTGAGCATTGTTTTCCTATTTGGATCAAAATAAATTGCCAATAAAGTGTAAGAAAAACATGTATAATATAATTAAAAGATGTTCATGAAAAAATGTTTTTATGCCCTACTGAGGATTAAAATGTTTAAATATCAAACCTACTTGTAATATATTTGTCTCAGACTTCCATAATACATGCATCAGGAAGTATAGAATAAATTGACTTTAACAAAGTAAACACAATGACCTGCGGTCAGAACTGAGCTACTGCAGTAGTTAAATGCTGCAGTTTGAAGGCATGTTGATTGAGGTTGTTTTACAGTAAAGGTTGACTTAGTGCCGTCCACTGCAGGTCATAACCTGCTGCTCTGAATCACTTCTGTTTTCCTAACAGGTGGCACACGTTTGATTGAAGCAGCAGATATGACCCTGCTGGCTGCAGCCTTACAGTTGGATTTTATTAATACTCTAACAGAGCGAGGGAGGAGGAAGTCAAACACGGCGGGATCATAAGTGTTGTGGTTAAAAATACGTCAGTCTTAGTTTTACTGGTAAGTTAATCGTACAAATGTACTAGGTGTACTGTAGGTACAAGAGGGGGAAAATGCTTTATTTGTCACTGTCTCTTCACATACATGTGCTCTGTCAGTACTTTGTAGTGTACACTGTGACACGGTGCATCCACGACAGCACACCTCCAAGTCCACACATAACTAAACTTGCCCAATGCACACACACACACACACACACACACACACACAGATACACGCTGGAGAAATTACAATTACACTAAAGCTTGAACACACACACTGAGGTGAATAAAAGAGGCACCAGCAGAACGGTGTATACTGTTGGGGAGGAGTGCTGCGCTGACTCAGTCCAAACAGTAACACAGGCTGCAGGTGGTTTTCTGACAAATTATAATTTAACTGGTGTGACATCAACGCAGCAATGTGAAGCACTAGATTTCACAAACAGTTGAATAGAAGACATGCTGAGGAACAGAGATCGATCAAATTGTTGGTACAAGGTATCAGTTGTAGGAAAAATACTGACTCAGGAGTTCAGGAGTATTTAAAATGTGTGGATCGATTAACTTTAACAACCAGGCTTCTGTAAAAAAAATAAATAAATAAAACAATTAAAAGTTGTGGGGAATATTTTAAGCAGTTCTACCAAAGCATGACTTCCACACAAATGGAAGTTCCTATTCTTCCTGAATAACGTCAACATGGTGCGACTCAGTCATTCCAACAATTCCCAGCACCAGGACTTTAAGGACGATCAAGGATGACAACGTCATGATTAAACCTCAACGGTCTTAACTGATGGTGAAACATGGTGACGTGATTTTAACTTCACTCCCAACTTGACTCGTCCGAGAAAAACAGACTCCACAAAGACAAGTTGGTTGATTAGTTATTAGCGCCATCTGGTGGCTCTAAAGGAGAACGTCGACTTTATGGAATAGACCTCTCAGATGGAAATAAATTAACTTCAGAGACTTTTCCTACAGTATGTCAGTATGTCATTTACACCCATACAGCCCCAACACAGAGTCGGATGCACTCGCACACGTAACGCTATGTCAAGATAAAATAAATTAAAATGGCTTTTTAAAAACACTTTCTAAAACTGTGGCTAGATCTTACTGTCACCAAACTTCTTCTGCATCAGTTTGAAACAATTTAACAAAAAAATGTTGTTTTGCAGCATGGTTCAAGAGCTGGAAGACCAACAACTCTGGTTAGATTCCTCGTTTTGTAGAAGTCATCTATGAAAAAGATTACACTTCAACAACAGAGTGAATTCAGGAATATATATTTGGTCTGAGGCTGGACTTTTTATTCTTAAGTTCTTTTTGGGAATATTTAAGGGACAAAGTATAAAATAGCATTGGTTCTGGTATGAATGAGGACCAACTGTTAAATCAATACCTCATAATACAAATTCAGATAATACTAGTCATTTTCAGCTTTTTCTCTGACATTATTTTAATTAACCTTGGTGACACAAAAAAATCTTCCTACATTTTTTAAAAATGACCTTAAAACATTTCAGAATTTTCCTGTTAAGAAAAAACAAACAAACAAATGTCATGGTAAAAGAGAATAAATAATGTAGAGCCTGTAAACATGAATGAGATATATGGACTTCTAAATGTCAAAAAACTTTCCAGCGCCCACATCCCGCAGACGCCTCAGAACAGACCCGTCGATGCCCGTCACACTGAGGTGACAGCCTCTCTTTCAAACTTGGCACTTAATGATAATTAAGTGTAAGAAAACCCACATGGTCCATGCCAGTGGAGACGATTGGACGCTTAATTACCGGACACACTGACATATCATCAACAGTCATCCATCTGTACTTCTTCATTCATATGAAAGCATTCACAACATACAATATACAGTATGTTGAGTAGAAAATATGTCATAAGCAAATCTCTCCAAGATCTACACCTGTTGTCCAACTTTCAACGGCCCACGTTAACCACAAGGTATTCTTATGCACAGTTTTCATTAGGCTGACTTTTTCTGTGGAGAAGTAAAACAAGATTGACATATTTAATAATAATTAAAAAAAATCATCAAGGTCATCCCACAGAGGCCAAAAGCATGTCTATGATCACTGTTGCATCAGGAACCGTGTGCTCCACTGATTTTCTGGTTATTTTTAGATCTAAAAGAAAAACTGACTTCAGTGAAGTACTATTCAGGTCGACTAGTGGACACTGGATGCATCTGCAGGGTGGATGTTTCAAATTTTGTTTTAGTGCACGTCTGGCCTGAACTTCTTACTTTTTCTAGCATAAGTTTGGCTGTTGTTTCTCTGCATTTATTATGCCCTTTCAAAGTAAAAGCTTGATGTAGTAATAGCGAAAGAAAAAAAAAAAAAAACAACAGCTCAAGCTGTGTTTACCATTTATCCCAAAGTGCCCTCACACAAAAACATTAAAATTAGGGCTGTCAAAATGAAGGCATTTATTTCTAATACAGTCAATACACATGTCGTCAAATACACACTGTGTGGAAATTTTGGAAAGTTAGTTTTACAGAAGCTTTAGCTTAAAATAGCTCACAGCTCACAGACCCAATTGTCAAATGATTCATGAGGGACTGTAGAGTGGTTAATATTGTCGAAGACAACCACTTCACCTGAGTTTTGAAACTCTTGACACGCCATCATCAAGAACCACAGTAATGACTAAACATTACCAACTCTGGAAGCTCAGTTTTGAGTTATCTAATTTTCTGTCTTATTAACAGATTAGTCAGATATATGTATTTAATCATGATTGGTTAGAATTAATCGTGATTAATCATGAATAATCCACAGCACCTCTGTGATCAATCAGATTTTTTAAAAAGTTTGACTGCCCAAATTTTAATGAAGAAAATATTTCTGCACAGTTTATCTCAAACACGTAGCGAGCACGTACCAGCTCTGCCTCTCAGACAGTGTAAGTGGCAGCACCATGACATTTACATCACTTATGGCCATTATTCCAGGGCTAAAAAGACAGACAAAACATGTCCAAAGAACACAGCGGACCTCAAACAAAAACGCTTTCATGATTCGAGACGACAAGGCCCTGCAGATGTCTCCACTGTGGACCGTAGACCGACAAAGACACTGTTTGACTGGTAATCAGCAACATTCTATAACGTAAACTTAAACAGTTGTGTGTGTTGAATGGTTTTACAGCACTGCATGGATGAAGCATTCACACATGCCAGTCCACATGTTGATGTTCCTCTGCAGCATAAACATGTAATCCATCGCTCCACTGTTTCTTCTGTTTCTGTGGATAGAGCCTTTGGCTGGGAAAAGGTAGTCATTAGTCAGTATAAAACAAATGTCCACCCCCCGCCATCTTCTTCAATAGTGTCGACTCCCTGATCAACCACCATGGAGGGGAGCATGTCTGTCATTCTAGCTCTGATCGAATGGATATGGTCCATGAATACCCTGGAAAATGGTAGAGAACAAACATTAGAATGTCATGTGCAAAAGAAAAAAATCTAGTGTGGTTTAGTTAGTTAAGTTAATTAAATTAATTGTGTATATAAAAGCAGTGATAGGCTGACAAACGACAAGTTCAATGACGGTAGAGAAGCTTGGAGATGTTGCTACGTTACATGATTACAACAGCCACACCTAGAGGCAAATGCAGTTGTTTACACAGAAAAGTAGTAGCTGAATTCCACGTCCACGTCAACCCAACATTAGATTCTGGCTGAAGTACAAGTCAACTATGACCCTGATCAGACAACTGCGGATAACATAGTTCTGTGTCTTCAGTGTTGAGGACACAAACGCATCATCTCATCTTCAGATTGGATCACAAAACCACATTCCTTGCGGTGCATGAGTGCGTCCCAACCTGGCTGTGGGACAAAAATGTCATCAATCACTGCTATCAGTTTGGACCAATTTGGACACACCCCACCATTCAGTTCATCTGTCAGAATCAGTGTGAGTTCCTGGCTGACTACCTGACACAAAGACAACCCACACTGAAGATTCGACACATTACATTCTCTTATCTGTGTCTTCTGCAGCTCACAAAGACACGTATTTAAAATTAATTGCCCCAATAACACTCAGGGTTTCTGTTATGTAGGCCGTTCAGTAGGGGTGGCAGCTACTTAATTATTGCAACTGCTACAGAGCTGAGAGAGAGACAAAATAATAATCTACCTGTGATAAATTGTGTTAAATTAGAGAGACAAAATAATAATCTACCTGTGACTTTTACTAAAATTTAAATTTGGGATGGCTCAACTTTTTCATGTTACTTTCATGTTACTGGAACCTTAACTTGGACAATCAGCCGATACCGATATCTATCCGATACTTTCTTTTCTCCACCTGCATGCCACAGGCTAAGGTGATAGTGTCTTTGTTAGGACATGTCGCGCAATAGATGTGAGAGGATCGCATTTTTAAAAGCACTTTGGACAGTCATGATGTCATGCAATTTCATGTTTAAATAAAGAATGTAGCTTAATAGTGTCACGCTATTGTCCAAACATAATCAACTGCGATGATCCATCACTGCTGCTTTAAAGAGTCAAACGAAAACACAGAGACTAAGATTTCAAAGATGTCTCAGCGGACACAAACCATGGAAAGCACGAACCAACAGGTAGAGACAGATGACCTCCTTTGAACCAATGCAAATTGATAGGATTTTTCATTCAGTTCCCATTTATGAGCCACCACAAACTACAACATTGGTTCTAAAAACTATGTTATTTCATTTTCAATCTATGATGACTGTTGGTAAAAATCATATTTTTTTGTTGAAGCAGACACAAATGTACAGGACAAAGACACTGTAGCACAAAAGAGACTTCTGTGGTGGGAACTCTGTATAGATGCTTTCAATGGGTTTCTCAAAACACACGTAAACGTGATGGGGATAGAAATAGTAACCCTCAGAGATTACTTAATTTGTCAAAAAAGTTGTCATTTCAGACCAACATGAAGCAAAGAGTCTGGTATTTAACAGACAGTGAGTATCAGAATTTACCAAAGTATCTGGACAATAACAAATATCCAATTACCTCCATGACATCTGTCAAAGTAATACAAATTGCCCCATACATTACTTTTCAATTGACAGCATACATACCTGACCATATGTCACAACAGAAAGATTTGTTTGCAGTCCATTAGAGGCCCTATTTACAGCATTATGAGACAGTCCATTCTGATCTTGCTGGATTGGCTCTGGCGTCCGATCCCAGGTACCGCCGTGATCTCTGGCATCAAGTTTGTTCTTCTGCGGCGATGCAAAGGGGTTGAAGTCTCCCTGCACGTTCCGTTGAGGCTGGGTGTTGAATTCAGTCTCAAAGGACGAAAGCTGCTGGGTCACGCCGAGGAGGCCTCCGACTTCTACACTGAGAATCACCCAGATAACATCTGCAAAGGCATGGATCACGGCTAAATATTCTGTCTGAATAACAACATTTAAATCTTTCTACCAATGATCATGAGAATAACATAAATTAATCCCAAATTATTTCTTACCTCCGTAGAACAACCCGTTGGCTGTGCACATTCGCCACTGACCCTGATACATGCCAGGATTTGTGGGACTCCGCATTTGCACACTCACGTCGGATATTTCTTGGGGGTCTAGAGATTTCACCATGACTGTGTTTACATGTCCAAACTGATCCCCTCCAACGTACTTCAGACAAACCCCCGGGGGCCATGCCTCTGCACCTATAGCATATAAACCACAGGTCATCTCACAATGAAGTAAAGAAACTCAAGATGAAGGTAAGGTCTAAAATGCGACAACTTTTATACCAGTGTTCTGTATTCTCCAGGTCTTTGTAAACGGTGTATCTGGAGGGACAGACTCTCCTTCACCAATAGTCACATCTTCAACAAAGGACATGGAGGGTGTATTCACAATGGGACTTTCAAAGTCATAATATGCACCAATAGCAGCCTGAAGGTTCCTGTAAAAACAGAAAGGTTAAATCAAGCTACCAGGAGCTGACAATTACTGAGCACAAGGTCACAGAAGAAGATATTTGAGGATATTGCTGAACAGTGTTACAGTGGCACATTGACACAGACGTTAAACAGAAAGGTCACTGGCTTGTGTCATGTCTCAGACTAATGGCATTTCAATATGGAGTTGCATGTATTCCCTGTTTTGTTGGGGGTTCTTTGTGGGGGCCTTGATTCCCCCCACAATCCAACATGCAGATCAGTCATTAGCTTGTGTTGTAAAGATAAGGCTGCACAAAATATAACTTTTTATCCACAATACACTGACTGCCAGCTTGTCCAGAACATCTGGGATGGCTTCAGTTCTTCTATTAGCAATAAGGAAAAAAATCAGTAGGTTGTATTTATTTAATCCTTTTGAGAGTCACTTCCTCCTTTATTTACTCCTAAAATGTTTTAATTAGACTGGTATAATTCAGTGGGGGGCTGCAATGCAAATACCTGTCCAATCAGGCCAACACGAATTAAAATGAGGACTGGTATCAGCTGATCAGAGACGCTTGTCAGCTGCTCATAGTCGTTGATCACGACTGGTTACGTCATCAGGCTAACGTGAAGTGGCAGCCTCCAGTAGTCTATTCCTCTCAGGAAGCTTTGCAACCGAAACCATTATGTAACAAGGCTAATAATCTACACCGAGGTTCCCTGTGCCCAAATTAGCCTTCGGACGAGTTAGTTTGCTTGCTCTATGTTGTTTAGGTATTTCAAGTGAATGAAACGCACGATCTAGACAAACTTTAACGTTTCACTTCCGTTTTCACTTTAACTCAGAGCTGGGAGTAAGCTGTCCTTCCTCGTGTCCTCTCCTCTTTGCTGGAAAACAGAACGTTTAGAAAACGCCTGTTTTAACGCCTTAACGCGTGACGTGTAACCGTTTCAACAGCTTTAATAAGAGTCATGTTGCTGGTCAACAGAAGGCCCCTTAAACACCCCCATTTACCAGTTGGTCATGTCCAGGAAGAAGGCGCAGCCGGCTGGATTTAGCTGGAAACCCAACAGTCTCTGAAACTCCGAGATGAGGACGTCCTTGTCCGTGGTTCCCATGCAGCTGAACTTCTGCATGAGCTCCGCGTCCACGTCCATATCTGTACCCTCCATGGCCGGCGGGCGTCCCGCGGCGGAACGGGTTAGTGCGGGAGGAAGGGAAGGAGAGTGGGGGTCTTCTCTCTCAGTTTAATCGGAGGCCTTGTCCAGCCATAACAACCAGTTTAACAACAACAAGCGATAGTGCGCATGACACGAGCAGTGGGACGGTGTATGACGTCGTGCGCGGGCGCAATCTCCTCCAATCAAACAGTGGGCGTCGACGTCATCTGTTGCCGTTTGCAGCGATCTTTTCATTGGGTTTTCATTTAACCCTTTAAACCCCAAAGACTTCCAATTGGGGGACTTGGTGGGGGTCTTGGTGAAGCACTTTGCAAACACAGAGTGAAACAGTTTACCTACCTATGGAATATAATGATGTCGCACATCAAATAAAACAGCAGAACTTGGGCTACAAGACTGAACAAACCATTTTGCCCACCCCAAACACAACTCAAATAACAAGTTAATATATTACCGCATACTTTGGAAAAGGGAACAATGTGACAGTGCTGTTTGTGGATTATAGCTCAGCCTTCAATACCAAAGTGCCCTATAGGCTGGTTACTAAGCTGAGTGACATGGGGCTTTAACATTATGGTCTGCCAGTGGATATACAACTTTCTGTCTAACAGACAACAGGTGGTCCACGTGGGGTGGCACTCTTCACCACTGGATTCACTCAGGGCTTTGTACTGAGCCCTCTGTTGTATGGCTGTGTATCAAACAACAACATGATCAAGTCCGTGGATGACACAGGAGTCGTGGTTCTCATCTGATATGGAAATAAGCAGAGTTACAGGTTAGAGGTCAATCACC